AGTGGGCCCACAGAGAGCCCCAGAGAAGGGGCGGTATTACTGAAAAGGCCCAGCATGGCCACGGAGAGCCCCAGGAGGGGGCGGCAGTACAGAGAAAGCCCTAGAGAAGAGGGCAGCAGTACAAAGAGGGCCCAAAGAGAGGGCAGCAATGCTGAGAAAGCCCTAGAAAAGGGGGCAGCACTTGAGAAGGCCCCAGAGAGAGGGCGAGTGTATTTGACAGACCAATGTCCATTCCAACTGCGAGGCTTGGGGCGTGGTATAAGGGGTGGTTGGAGCCACGCATAGCCCATAAGGCTAGGGTGCCCCAAAGCACCCATTTGCAGGACAAGACCCACAAATCGGGGCCAGGAGTCCATGGGGACAGAGGTCGCAACGAACCGTGTCCAAGAGGGCGTAAGGCAGCCTCCCAAACCGATTTAAACATCAAAGACATGGCGGGCGAGAATCAGAGGGTGCCCTTGGGCCGAGCTGGCACGGAGAAAGGAGGCCTTAAGGAGATCACGGCCCTCCTGTAGGACCCCGCCCATGACACCTTGTAAAGCATTGCCAAATTAGATGTGGGCTGACAGCTGAATCAGACTTGGGTATCCCAAGCTAGCAAAGAATGATCACATAAAAAGCCAGTTCACTGTATCAGGGCAGAAAGAAATTGTAAAGTGCATTGCTCAGGGACTAAACTCTAGTAACCTTTGATAAAGATGGGGAACGTCTCAGTTTGTAAAAAGTTCTTCTGGGGGTTTTTTGCATCTCCGATCCCCTACTTTGTGCTTTTCCTGACTCCCTGTTTCTAGCTTCTCCAGAGAGCTTGAGACTCAGCCCTCTCTCTGGATGCGGAAACATGGAAGAACTCCACATCTTTTCTTTCTGTTTCCTGCCTTCCTTTGGAAGGGATGTTGCAGGCTCTTTTAAAGAAAAAAATGACACTTTTAGAAGTAAAATTGGAACTGCATTGTATGGCACTTTTTTGCATATATGTTTGTGAAATGTTCTATTTTGGTTTTATTCCAAAATATAATAAAGCCAGATTTCAAGACTTCAGAAGTTCTCATAAAACAATTGTTATCCTCTGGTTAGTTTTACTTGGAAGTAGTGATTGTCTGAGGGCCATTGAACCCCAGTGTCCGCCAGGAGACTAGAACTCGGGATGGTGAATAGGGGAGCTTCCCAGGACGGTCCTGTGCTTAGACAATATGGTATGAAATACAGGAATATTTTACCAAAGCAAGCGAAAAGATATTCTTCTTTCTTTTTCCTCCCCTTCTTACCTCCCCACCCCCAGGTCTGGATATCAAATGGTGGCCTAGCTGACATTTTTACTGTTTTTGCAAGGACTGAGATTGTTGATGAAGATGGCACAGTAAAAGACAAAATTACTGCCTTCATTGTAGAAAGAGCCTTTGGCGGAATCATGAATGGGAAGCCTGAGGATAAATTGGGCATTCGAGGATCCAATAGTAGGGAGCATTTTAATTTAATTTTTTCTTAGAAAATTCTTTTTCAGGTTTTCTTTATTTATCTGAATCCGCAAACAAATCTGTATTTCTAAGATGAGCATGCACTAGATTGCTGAATCAGGTTCATGTTTCTCACCTAAATTTCTTCTGCAGAGCAGTGCCCAAAGTGTATTTTCACAAATGTAAAGATCCGATTTAAGTAATCCATTTTCAAGTATCTAGATCCCATTAAGTAATCCATTCTCAAGCATATAAAGCCCTTATTTTGTTATGACAGTTTGCTACAGCATGCTGCACTGAGATAATTCAGTAATAATGATACAATATACCTATACTAGAATTAGGTTTGTCTTAACTGCTTCTTCTATTTAATGTTAACTCTGGGGCTTAGTCATTTTGGGATGTCATCCAGATTCTCAGTTTATACTGACAGGACTGTATTTCTCTCTTGCTTACACTGTCTGCAAGTCAGCAGTATTAATATTTTTGCTTTTTATAAGTTAAAATGTCAATTCCAAATTTGTCCTCATTATTAACTGTTTTGGCAAAATCTATTTAATTCTATTAGATCAGGGGTGTCCAACCTTTTTGAATGTGGGGCTGTATCATGAACTTTTTATCATCCAGTGGGCCAGCGAGCCATATTCAAAGACCTCACATCAACACCCCCCCCCCCCCCGGGGGAAAACAA